CTCCTGCTGAACTGAACGGACAGAAATGACGATGAACAAATTGCAGCAACTTTTATGCAAAGTACTGCTATTTGGATGTGTGAATGTATCTTAATCACTCAAATACGCGGCTTCGAACGTCGCACACGTGTGCGGCTCGTACGTACATCGAGATAATCGCCGAGATGCACGAGTCGCGATAGGAGGCCTCGAAACGGCAGTTAAAGTCGATTGTAACGTCCGTGCGCGCGACGTGAAATATTTATACTATCGTGACGATTATAACGTCACACACGTAACCGCGGACGGAGGTTACAATGATTACATTTACTTTTGAGGGGGAAAGAGACAATCGTCCGCGTTGCCATCAGTTAACAATGTTCGTGTTAGCGTTACTATGCAAATCGAGGGGACTCATTACGGCGAAAAATCTAAAGGAATTTCTCTCCCCCTTTCCCCCGCCCCTCTCATTGTAATTATACTTGCAAAAGTCGCGCGATAATTAAAACTTCAACCGCGCGACGTTGTTAATTATCAGAATTATCTCCTGCCTATCCCCGATCACTTCGTTAATTAACGATAATTAACAACTAATTGTCTATGCACTAATAACGGCTTCATCTTTCTTTTTTGGATTATTTAACGATTCGAATTGTTTATGATATATTTAATTCTGGATTAAAATATATCGTGTAGAATTATGTATTCATTCATAATGTGTGCTTACAAATAAGAAACAAAATTTTTCACGTTTTTACGTTTGGATTCTCTTTTAAAAGCGTACTCGTACTCATTTGAGCATCACTTTGTCCGTAAGAACCTCGTAGAAACTTACTCGTTTATGCAATTAACTTCTACTATACTTCGCACTCGAAGGACGTAAAGTGATTACAAGCCGCTCTATTTTCCCGGTAGTAACTCGTATGAGGAGGAAATATAACTTATATGAGGTTCACGCTCGTGGCTTCGTGCCACGTAGCTGTTTCCATTTCGTAACGCGTTTAAGCTAACGAGAACTCGAACGAGTTGTGCAGAAAGCACGGGCGTCGTTAAAAATGCATCCTCGCGTGACATTTCTTCCCGTCCTGACTCCGACACTGCCAGTACTCGCAGTTTTCGTTTCTTTTTTTTTTTTTTTTTTCCACCACGCACACGCCATGACACACGCGAAATCGGTGAGCCGCGACATATGCTGATTTTTAAATAACATCCCTCTGGTAGACCGCCCAATCGCTGCGAACTCTAAAATGAAAATGTAAATCCAATATTAATATCACGCAATTGATGTCATTATGTATTTGGAGAATGT